ATATATATATAGAACTAGACACTGATTACCTCATGGTACTGGGATAATACGAGCAACATCGGTGGATTTTTGAACTAGTTAGGCTAGAATGATGATTTTCTTTTAGAGATATTCTCTCTTTTGATACTTACACATTTGTTCTAGCACCTTTTGTTCCTATATGTAATTTCCTTATCAACGACTTTTTGATGTAAATCGATAGCGGGATATGCTTGCCCACCAGTTGCCCTTAATGTCCCGTAATCACACGGACTTAGACTGGGAAGATAAACGGATTGAAATGAATTCGGATTCGGTTGCTGTACCAACGGTCCATATATGTGTCGAGGAACTCAAGATGGCGGGCTACATTCATTGTTCATTTTCGATGATTTCCTCATAGTAACAGATGTCCCTGATGTATACTGTAACCGCTACAGTCACCCTACGTGCGCACAAACCCGACTTCTCTCCGACGGCGCGTCATTCTTCCAGGGTAGAGAGTATAGCATGCCTCGTCTATAATACTTTTATACTTTAGGCGAATTGTTGGTGATTCGAATCCCACAAATTGCATATAGAATGTATCGTGCGCATTTACGTTTACGTTTTGCTCAGCTTCTGTATTTTTCGTATTGGGCTAGGATCCTTTTATAACATGTGAAGCGTTAGTCTACGTTCCGTTACGTTCCAAACTTTATTTTTGTGAAAACCCTCCTTGATTGCGACAATATGCTGTTGTTCTTCAAATGCCGATTTCTAGTAAGCTCATCGTTAATGTTCAGTACTTTAATCTCCGGTCTTGAAATGTTTGCCCCATTTACGCACCGTGCATTTAGTGCATCCTTCCTTAGTGCCTTTATTATTCTCCGGCCAATTACCTTAGTACAATGGACTTCGAGGGATAAAAACTGAGTATTGGTTTTTAAGACTAAAATATGTTTCCCCTTGTAAACTCACTTCCCCTGGAATAAACCAAATTCTTTCTGTTAGCGCCGTCAGTTCAGGGATTATTCAACTTCAAAGTTTGGTTGTAGTAGTCGAATAAATGTTAGAAGTCAGCTCTTTTAATTGGACGAAACATAAAACGGGCTAATCTCCGCTTCCTAATATTAGTAAAATCGTGCCGGCTTTTAGTTCTCTTACTTTTCCCATAGACTTCAATATACTGGACTGTCGAAAAAGTATTAACGGTATTTTTATTAAGGTGCCTTCTAGACACATATCTCAGATAATATGAGCCACGTGCTGGCGTTGATATTACTTAAAAGCTGAGATCTGACAACTAAAACTGTTGGAATACCTCCACTTAGACTTATAAAATGCAAATTAGCTTTGAAGTTATTACAAATAGGACACACGCCGGCCAGACATATAAACAATTCTGCTGTTAGGAATTAAGATGCGTTATCGAAACAAATAGCCCAAAGATGGCTCTAACACTTTCGCTCTAAAAATTTCGATGTAACATGCTCCTTATAATAGTCTAAGTTGGAGAAAAAATTGACGAAGTTATCGCGAAAGCTAAAAAAGACCGAAACGTAAATGGCCGCGAGCCGTTTCTAACGCGTGAATCACGAATAATGAAAGCATTTACATACGACGGTAATATACGAAAAAAAAATGTTGTCCACAGTCTGGGGCTTGCCAAAAATGCTGCTACTAGATATTTGGTAAAGTTGCCAAGAAATAAATTATGGCCTCTCGCCGGCCGGCAGAAAACGTTAACTCGGATCTATATTGTTAACAACTAACGAAATTACAATAAGTGGGCGGTGACAGCGTCGCCGTCCGGCATGACAGTGCCAGATCACATACCTTCTTAAGTGCTCGGCCAAAAATTGAGAAAGCTTATGCCTGAAATGCATCCGCGGTATAGCCCCGATCCTGTGCTATCAGACAATGGTCTATTTCTGTTTCTTCAGAACTCGTATTGTTATACAGAAATCGTATTAATTCAGTTTTAGTGAAAAGATGTAAAATTTCTATGCCAGAAACTGCAACATTTCGGCAGTGATTAAATGATGACGTCACCAGAAAAAGTATCAGAAGGTCGTTGTTTAGTAATATTATTTACAAAACAAAAAAAAATATCAAATAACTAACGATCGTTTTTCGCTCAGCCAATATCACATCGTCAGAAGAAGCCCAGTAGCACGCATAATAAAACAGAGCTCACCGGGACCCGGACCTTAGCCTCCACGATTTGCATGAGGTGACGTACCCAAAAAAAAATCCTTATATTTTATCGAACAAACGGACTAAATAATTATATAATGTCATATGTGATATTTCCTTAGTGTCTGTTCTTCACGTGTAGTAATATTAAAAGAGAAGAGCGCTGAGTCATCTAATATTATTAAGACGTACACCGTAAACATGAATATCATGCCATGCACTACACGAGGTACGGCCTTACTAGTTGTAAAGCGGTACGAGGCACATAAAGCCGAAGCGGATAAAACAGAGCTACGGACTTCCTTCTTTTTACCTAGTCGCTTCCACGGCCAGCATCTCGCGGATACCCCGACAGGAAACAACTTCATGCTTTTTGAACTGTTTGAATCGATCGACCCAGGCTGTCAGGCGCTTGTCTCGAATGTTGCGGCTGGACTTAGAATCGACGTTCGCACGCTTGGCCTAAACCTCTGTTAAAGCGAAACGAGAGACCGTCGTCTCACACGCCTGTGCAGAAGCACTTAGCGTGACCAAACAAATCTTCCACACTGAACAACTGATGCTGGGCCATCTCGTTGTAGCTTCTGCCGCTGCTTTTCTGTTCAATACCTCGACTGGTTTAAAATGGGGATGGCGCTCAAAATTTTCAGATCGTTCAAACTAGCAAAAAATTGACATAGCATATTAAGCATGTGTTGAATACACTTAGATTGATTTACTCGCTGCTAAATATTTTCGTTCGTCGTCGAATTTCGTTACCGATAAACTGGCATGCAGCTATATTAAGCTTGGGAACCTCTTACAGCCGAGGCAATCGACCAACTGCTGCTGTGGCAGCTGAGCCCTTCGGGGCCTTGGCAATCTGCGTAATTGAGAATCGTCTTTTTTGTTCGATACATGAATGAATAGAACGTCACCTGTGAAAGCATAATTCACCTAGGCTTTACCTAGGTTCAATAGAAATCTGTACGCATAAGTAGCAGACGGTTCCGGAAGAGAATCTTCAAAGGCGAGATTCTTCCTAGAGCTGGAATGGCATGAAATCATTGTGCTTGCCAAAAGGACTTTGTATAACATTTTGCTTACTATGTACTCAGTGAGAAATCACCTCGAATGGATAAAACGCGGAGGATTCATGCGAATCGTACATACTCATAACGGAAATCGCCGGTGTTCGTGGAACAAGCTTTAACCATATAGCTAATGTGGTATTGGTTCCAACAACCTCTGGCGATTACTATGACCGTTAGTCTTTCTTCCAGTACTGGGTTGGGTTATTGTAGCAATTGTATTTTACTGATAATATAATCAAATAATGCGGAAGTTTATGTTCCTTTCATACTCAAGTTACTCATAAGTCTGTGTCGCATTTTTGAAACGACAAGTTATAGTCTTGAATTGTATGGCCGACTAAAACCACACCGGAAGTCCTTTGCATTATATCTGTGTTATCTTTCAAACGGCTCATATCACATTCTGATGCTCTACAATTATGTAATCAATCAGCAATTGTCCATATTGGCAGGTAACCATCAGCAGGAACTAGAAAGGAATAAGAAGCATCCTTGTTGATCCTATTTAAGGATCGTACAATACGACAAATAGGTATCCGAGATAATACATATCGCCATTTTTTGCTCTTGCAGATAGATCGTAATAGTAGACAGTTTCAGAAAGAGTGAAATAAGGTAAATTTCAAAAAGAACAACTTCTGGTATACATAGCGACTGATCTAAAGGCAATCGTGTTTGTCATATGACACTAAGTATCTCGGAAACATAAAACTTGAGAGATATGGCTTTCATGGAATATGGGCTTACCCTTATAGATAAGAGTCAATCACTAGTCTTGATCATGTAATTTTAACTGGCATTTTGGGCAGTCATAAACCGTTAAAACCTCTCTACCGTCAATATCTAAGAAGAGCTTAAAAAAATTTGTGCTATGTTTAGACCTTTTCCTTTTTACTCTACTATCGTAGCGTAAATGTAAAGTGATGAGTGGTATTGTATTTAGCCATTTACAATTGGCAATGATCACTAGGGTCATGTTCAGGATAAAACAAATCATGTTCGTTATACCATAGCTTTAGAGACTCGCCATTCAAAACATATTGCACCCTTTTACGTAACCGACCGTTAAACTGTGGTCAGACAATAGTAGGCACCTCTTGAAACTGCTGGGTTACTATGATCCCAGTAATCCTACTTATTTCGATAGGAATAAATAGGACAAAATTTTTTGTCAACGGCTTTATCAGGTTCTGGGCAACCTCGCCATCAGTGGGCTTACCGTAGATA